TGGAGCCGGGCGACCCAGGCCGAGCCAGGCAGCTGGGCTGCAAGAATGGCAGGCGCGCCAGAGCCCGGGAGGGTGCAGGGGCTCCCTGTGGGCCTGGACTAGGGCAAGGGGGTCTGCTGACGCACCAAGCAGGGGGGCAGGCCACTCCGATGCTCCCCTAGCTTGACCGCTAGCCCACAGCTGTTCCCCAAGAAACAGAAGGGGTGCGTGGGGGTGCCCTGCCAAGGAAGGGTGGCAGCCCAGGCCCTCGCCAGTTTGGGGAGGTGAGGAGAGGCGGCAACTATGCAATCCATTGCCAGGCGGCACAGCCACCCCTGTCCCATGCAGAGGCGCCCCAGAGGAGGGGCAGGGGATGGCTCAGCCTCGACCCATGTGTCTGCTGGCCACAGACACCGAATCCTGGCTCAGACAGCAGACCCCGACAAGCCCTGAGCGCCCCCACCCACCCGCACCGCGAGATGCCCTATTAAGGGCATGGCCGCGGGGGCTCAGCGGCGCGCGCCCGCCCCCTTCCCCGGGCACGAGCCAGGAGGACCAGGCGCCGGGCGGCGGGGCCGTACCTTTGTACCTCTCGCGCACCTCCTCGTAGGCCTGGATGAAGTCCTGCTCGTCGGGCGGCGCGCCGGGCGTCAGCAGGGCGGCCATGCCGGCGGGCGCGGGGCGCGGGGCGCGGCGGAGCCTCCAGCACCCGGCGGCCACTCCGTCCCCGCGGCCGCGCGCGCCGCTTAAAGGGGCCGCCCCCGCCCCGCCCCGCACCCAGGATGCCCCACGGGCGGGCGGGGCGGGGGCGGGCTGGGGCAGCGGGGCCGGGCGCCTCCGGGCGGGCGGGCTCCCCGGGCTCCGAGCCCCGCGCGCACGCCGCTTCCCGCTCCTGCCCGGCGCCGCCGCCGACAGCCGGGGTTCAGGGGCCGCCGCGACCCGTGTGTCCCCCGCAGGGCCCGCGACCTGCCTGCCTCCGACACGCGCCCCTGCCCGCCCCGCCCCGCGCTCCCTGCGCGCCGCTGAGAACTTTCCCGTCGCAACGCTGGAGACGACCGAGTCGGTCTAAAGAACCCTCAAAACACAAAAGCAAACAGAAATTCAGCACACACCGGAGGACCGGAATCGGCCACGCACAGAAGGAAGAAACGCTTCGTGATCATTAAAACGACTCTTTCCAGCCCTCGGCTGGGCAAAGCCCCGGCTCTCCCGGCCTTCACCAATGCGGACACATTTTCTTTTTTTTTCTTTTTTCTTTTGAGACAGAGTCTCCTCTGTCACCCAGGTGAATGCCGTGGCGCGACCTCGGCTCCCTGCAACCTCCTCCCGGGGTTCAAGCGATTCTCCTGCCTCAGCCTCCCAAGGAGCTGGAATTATAGGTGCTGCCACCACCCTTGGCTAACTCTGTATTTTTAGTAGAGATGGGGTTTCACCATCTCGGCCACCCTTCCTCGGATGCCCCTGGCCATGTTTTTTCAAGCTTAAAACCACATGTCCTGTAACTCAAGTCCAGCTTCCAGGAGGCAGGTCCTAAGGGAACCACCAAGGACGCAGCGCCCTGGCCGGGGGTGCTGGCTGCGGCACAGCCTTTGCCGTGAGCGCGGGAGGCGGCCACAGGCAGCCGGGGCCTCGGCCCCCCCTCCACAACTGTAAAGGTGATGCTGAGGAAAGCCCAGGTGTGGGAACGACACAACTGATTCCCTTTCAAGTGGAGATAAATGACATTTCTTTTAAAAGTCCGTGTAACGTGAAAACCGCTGAAGGTCACGCACCTCGCACCAGACGCTGGGGCCGGGGCTGGGTGCAGGGTGCAGGGTGCTGACCCTCTCCTTCCCTGCGTCTTGCTCCCCCCAGCCCCACTTCCTGCAGCCTCCTCGGGGCTCAGCACCCGGCCCTGCAGCCCTCGCCGGCTCCCGCAGAGGCCCTCCCTGCCCTCCGGCGGGAACAGGTCCCGACTCTCCAGCCCAAGCCTCAGAGCTCCGGCTCCTCCCTCTCCGAGCACACCCTTCCCGTGGCCTCCAGCTCTAGGTCACCCACTTCTCTCCTGCCCTCCCCCTTCCCCAGGGCTCTCGCTGGGTCCTTCCCGTCCTTCTCCCAGGACCCGCAGCGACTGGAGAGCACGGCCAGATCCTGGCCCGGGAGGAGGCTGGGGCTCCGGACGGCCGGGCACCGCTCCCTAGACACCGCTTCTGCACATTCCACGTGCCCCCACCCCGCGGCAGCAGCCAAGACCGAGGGCCTGGTGGGCAGCGCTGCCCCAGGAGCCCAAAACATTCTCCTTGTTGCGGCTGGGCACTGGACCGCTTTAAAGTCAGGGATGGGCGCCGGGCAAGCAGCCCAGCCCCGGGCCGCAAGCACCGCCCGGGCGGGGCCGGCAGGGGGCGCTGTGCCGCCGCGCTCACCCCCCTCCCCCCCCCCCGCTCACCCGGGACGCGCAGACCCCCCCTCCGCCCGCGCTCACCCGGGACGCGCAGACCCCCCCCACCCCGCTCACCCGGGACGCGCAGACCCCCCCCCACCCCGCTCACCCGGGACGCGCAGACCCCCCCCGCCCACGCTCACCCGGGACGCGCAGACACCCCCCCGCCCGCGCTCACCCGGGACGCGCAGACCCCCCCCACCCCGCTCACCCGGGACGCGCAGACCCCCCCCCGCCCACGCTCACCCGGGACGCGCAGACCCCCCCCCGCCCGCGCTCACCAGGGACGCGCAGACCCCCCCACCGCCCGCACTCACCCGGGACGCGCAGACCCCCCCCACCCCGCTCACCCGAGACGCGCAGACCCCCCCCCGCCCGCGCTCACCCGGGACGCGCAGACCCCCCCGGCCTCCCACCCGGCCCCAGCCCCGGCGCCCGGCACGCGGCGGGAACCGTCAACCCGCGAGTGACAAGCAGGTGCACAGGCGAGGCCCTGCGCAGTTACCTGCGATGCGAATGACCGCCCGCTCCGCAGGGTCCAGGACACTCCCGTTGGTCCTGGCGCCACCCGCGCTGCGCCGGCTCCGCTGCGTTTTCCCAAGGTTCCAGGGCAGGGTGTCGCCAGGGCTGGGTGAGCCACTGCTTCCATTGGAGACATCTTCGGCGACTGCCCGCACCTCAGCGTCCTCACCCGACATGGCCTCCTGGGGCGGGAGCGGGAGGGGGTCACAACTCTGCCGGTTCAGGAGTGGACTCCGCACGCTGACCCACCCACCTCCTTCTTAACCGAGACACTGAGCCCAGCCCACCCACCCTCTCACCGGGACACCGGCACCCACACACCTGCACCCTGCTGCACCCACACACTGACACCCATGCTCTCGCCCCAGGCACTGACTACTCTCTCTCCATCCACGACTGCCTCGCCCCCTCCCACCCATTCCTCAGAAACCCACGCGCGGACCCAGTGACCCCCACCCAGCCACCGGCCTCACCCTCCAGTCCGTCACCAGGACACTGACCACCCTGGCCACCCCCACGCCACCCTGGCCACACTGGCTGCCACGCTCCTTAGTCGCCAACACCCCAACCGCCTACTCTGTCACCCAGGGGCGGGACCAGCCCAGGACCGACCACCCTCCACCCTGTCAAATGGAAGGGGAGGGGGAGACTACCTTCACTCAGACCCCGGCCTCCACCGCCTCCATCCCAAACCTGACTCTTGGATGAATCCTCTAATCGCAGGCAGGAGAGGCCATCAAGGAACGCGGACCACCGCCCCCTCCGCCCACTGGGTCATCCAAGAAGGACACCCAAGCCCTCCCCCTGGACACCGGCAGTCCACCTCCAAGCTGTCTCGACCTCTAGGTCTCCCCATTACGCTCCCCAACCTCGGCCCGCAGTCCCACCTCGATCTCCGCAGCAAAGGCCTATAAATAGCTGCAGCCGCAGCGGCGTGGGCCGTGGGAGCTCTGCGGCGGAGAGGCCGGGGAGGGTGCCCGGGCCGCCGCTCCAGCAGCCCACCGTGGGGGCGCGCACACCCGCACCGCAGACGCAACCGGGGCGCGCGAATACCCACTTGCGCACACGCCTCAGCCCCCGTCCCCAAGAGCGCTGCGTGCGGGAGGTGAATGGGGCTCTGTCTCGGCGGGGTGGGCTGGCGTGGGGGCACAATGTGGGCTCTGTGCCTCCGCCCTCAGGCCAAGGGCCAGGAAGGAGACCGCGGGCGCCGCGCAGAGGGCCGCCGCCCCCCGCCCCCGCTGGCCCTTCCCCCGGCCGCCCCGGGGCAGCCCCCCGCCCGGAGCCCTGCGGTCAGCCGCGCCTCCCCAGCAGCCTTTCCTGCCCACACCCCGGGCGCCGCCCGTCCAGTTCCGCAGTGTCGGGCGCGCAGCGAGGCGCCGTCCTCTCGAGGGAGGGCAGGAGGGCCGCGGCGCAGCCCTGGCTCCGTGTGACCTGCGACCGGAGACCCCCCCCCGACCCCTACCCCGCAGCGCCCGCACGCGGCGCGCCCTGGCATCCCGGCCGCGGTCCTACGTGCCTGGTGGCTCCGCTCGCTTCAGCTCTGCCGCCGCAGCCAGACTGCTCCGAGCCGGAGAGCGCTGGAGGCGGCGCAGGCGGGGCGACCCCGAGCCCCGCCCCGGCCCCCACCCAGAGCCGCGCCGCGCGGGCCCGGCCGAGAGCTGCCGAGCGCTGTCCGCGAGATCGGGCGCCCGTGTCCGCGTGGGGCAGGCGAGACCAGCGGCGCGGCGGGGCCGGGGCCGGCGGGGGCGACTCGGCCGGGGCGGCCGCGCACACCTGAGCGCGGGCGCACGGGGCGGGCCGGTCGGCAAGGAGACGCGGTCGGCGCCGGCGTGCGTGACACCGGAACGCCGCGCGCTCGCCCGGGCGCGCGCTGGGCCCCGCCCCGCCCCGCGGCGCCCTCGGGAGCCGCAGACCCCGCCCCTGGGCCGCGGGGGTTCCCGCTCCCCCAGCGGAGGTCGCAGTCGGAGTTCCCGGGGCCCTCACGCCCGGTTTCACGTTCACGTTTATTCACACAACGGAGCCGCTCGGAGCGAGGACGCGGGCGGTGTCGCCGCCCCCTCCTCCCGGCCCTGCTGCCCCGGCCCCGCCCCGCTCGGCCGCCGCCGACCCCAACCCTCGGCCCCGCCTTCGGGGGCCGGCGGCGGGAGGCAGGGCGTCGCCGCGGTCCGCTCCGGCGGCCACGGTGGGGGGCGGGGGCGTCAGGCTGGGCGGAGTCGGGGGGCCTGGGCAGCAGGAGGCCAGAGGGGGGCCCCTGCGGTCAGGTGGCGGGGGAGGGGCCCCGGAGCCCAGAGGGGTCGTCGGGGGGAGCCCGGGGCGTGCGCTCGCAGGTGATGAGGTGGGTGGGCAGCGCCTGCGTGTCGTGGAAGATGACGAAGATGCTGGGCTGGCGGATGCAGTCCGCCGCGCTGTCGTAGCGCAGGAGCACGTGGCCGGGGCCCCGCAGAGGGGGCGCGAGCAGACCGCGATGGCCCTGCCCGTAGTCGCCGGTCAGCACCCGTGCCACGAACACCGCCTTGTGGCCATCGGCGTTGGGGGGCGAGAAGCGGTCCTGCACCGACATGGAGGCGCGCGTGGCGAAATACACGCCCTTTCCGTAGACTGTGGCTGCAGGGAGGACGCAGCAAGGTCAGCGCGGTCGGGGTGGGCAGAGCCCCCGCCCCTGCCGGGCTCAGGCCTCACCGTTGCGGCCGCAGAAGCTGCGGTTGAAGCCGTGGGCGCAGATGTCAGGCACTGCCCGCGCCGTCGTGCCGTGGTACAGCACCTGCTCCACGGGGCGCCGCGCACACCGCTGCAGCAGGCGCTCCCGGTACAGCTCATACTGCTGCTGCAGCAGCGCGTGCGACACTCGCTCCACCTGCGGGACGCCAGGGCCAGGCTTAGACACCCTCCCTAGGCAGGGCAGACCGGAGCCCTCTGTTGGAGGAGTCCAGGGCTCCGGGGAGACCCTGCAGCCCCGTCATGCTCTGTCCAGCAGCGGACAGTAGCACCTCCGTGGGCAAGTGACGTCAGAGGGCCTCTGGGGAGGCCTGACCCCTCCAGGGGAGTCTGACGCCCTCCTCCCCCTCCCATGGAAGGAATCTGGGGGTGGGCAAACCCCACCCACTCAGAGCCAGGCCTCTGCAGAGGAAAGCTGAGCCAGGGTCCTGTGCTGCCTACAGCACTGGACTGCAATACCAGACCGCTCAGTGGGAGAGAAGGCCTCCGGTGACTAATCTGACAGCCCTGGGAAACACTTCTAAAGAAATTCTAAATAGTTTCTTCAGAGGAACGCAGAAGAACACCCTGTCCACTAAACAAGACTAGCTGCTACGAAAGGGAACTAGTCTGAAAATGATCGTGCTCTTGCGTTCAGAAAGGGACCCTGAGCTAGATCCAGGGGGTGAGGAAGTGGTTCAAGCTAAAGGCCCAGCTAGTGGTCTAGATGGAGTTCAGGACCTGACAGAGTGCAGAGCTAACGGAAGAGAAAAAGGGCCTGGCGGAGAGCAGGCGAGGCGGGGTGGTGTCTGAGCCCACGCAGCAGGAGCTCCAGCACACACAGGGCAGACGGCTTCCCTGAGCGGAAGGAACATCTTCAGATACACAGGATCCATGAAACGCCAAGAAGGGCACTGGGGCAAGACATGTGCCCCGGCACCCACCTGCCAGGAAGCCTCAACCTTCAGAGCAAAAGAAAACCCTGCGAGTTTACACACACACACACACAGAAGTCAATACGCAAACGGGAAGGAATCTCACCTTCTCACACTGGGTCTCTCACTACTGACACCAGATGCTAAGAACCATGGGGAGATATATATACTTTTTTAAGACGGGGTTTCACCATGTTGGTCCGGCTGGTCTTGAACTCCTGACCTCAGGTGATCCACCCGCCTTAGCCTCCAAAGTGTTTGGATTACAGGCGTGAGCCACCACGCCCAGCCAGGGGAGATATTTTTTAACTTTCCAAGAAAAATATTTTTTAAGAAGGAAGAAAAACAGCAATGTTTTCAAATATCTGAGGAAAAACATATTTTGAACCTGAGCGCTAAATCCAGCCAAACTATTAATGAAGAATGAGAACAAATAACGGCATATTAGGACGTGCAAGAACCAGGAAGTTTACACCAACATCAAACTGTAGTTGCAAAATACCTCTCATTGTAAAGGTCAATGTAAATTTAAAAGTCAGCCGGGCGCAGTGGCTCATGCCTGTAATGCCAACACTTTGGGAGGCTGAGGCAGGCGGATCACCTGAGATCAGGAGTTTGAGACCAGCCTGACCAATATGGTGAACCCCCGTCTCTACTAAAATTACAGAAATTAGCCGGGCATGGTGGTGTGCACCTGTGGTCCCAGCTACTCAGGAAACTGAGGCAGGAGAATCACTTGAATCTGGGAGGCAGAGGTTGCAGTGAGCTGAGATCACGCCGTTACACTCCAGCTGGGGCAACAGAGCACGACTCCGTCTCAAAAAGCTATGCATGTATATATTTATATTTATATATACATATGCACAAAAAGTAGCTGGGTGTGGTGGGGTGTGCCTGTAGTTCCAACTACTTGGGAGGCTGAGGAGGAATCACTTGAACCCAGGAGGCCAAGGTTGCAGTGAGCCAAGATCATGCCACTGCACACCAACCTGGGCAGCAGAGATACTGTATCAAAAAAAATTATACGTATGTATATATTTATTTATATATATATAAATTTAGAAGTCAAAAATTTTACCACCCACTCAAGGAGATACTTGCACTGAACAGAAGAATCTACTGAAAGGTAGCAGCAGGCATTGAGCAACTCGGGGTCAAGCACGACCCAGAAGAAATGAAGAAAGTCAAAAAAAGAAGCGTCACTAGCCTGGAATCCTAGAATAGCTTTCTCACAGAACACAGTTTTAATAACTCGGATTTCATTTCTCTATGGCTCAATGGTAAATATTTTTTCATTATTATAGTATGTCTACCAACCTACGGCCCAAGCATGGAGGCTTTGTGATACTTACAGAAACCTTTACTGCATAATAAAGATAACATAACTGACCAAGTTGAGTTGGAAGGTTGGGGAGGAGGCAAAAGAATTTTTTCACTGCATACCATTTAAAGACCTAAAGGGCTCACTCAAAGAACCAAGTATGAATAATTAACAAAACCACCAGGATATGAGCTCAGTGCGTCTGGGTGCTGGCGATGCTGGTGGTGCTGAGTGGTGAGGGAGTGTTGGTGAAACTGACAGTGCAGTGGTGAAGGTGGTGGTGGTGGTGATAGTGAGTGGTGACGGTGACGGTGATGGTGGTGGTGACAGTGATGGTGACAGTGGTGGTGATGGTGGTGGTGATAGTGATGATAGTAAGTGGTGAAGATGAAGGTGACGGTGGTGGTGATGGTGGTGGTGATAGTGAGTGGTGAAGGTGAAGGTGATGATGGTGGTGATAGTGAGTGGTGAAGGTGGTGAAGGTGGTGGTGGTGATAGTAGGTGGTGAAGGTGAAGGTGGTGATGGTGGTGGTGATAGTGAGTGGTGAAGGTGGTGGTGACGGTGTGGTGGTGGTGGTGGTGGTGGTGGTGGTGATAGTAGGTGGTGAAGGTGAAGGTGGTGATGGTGGTGGTGATGGTGGTGGTGAAGGTGGTGGTGACGGTGTGATGGTGGTAATGGTGGTGGTGGTGGTCAGGTCTGGAGACAACCAGAGGTTCTTTCTGCATTTCTGACCCGCTCCTGGTGGAGGGCAACACTCCTGGCAACTTTGAGCATCAAGAGTTGAGAGTGCCCCGCCCAGTGTCCCCAGCACAGTGTCCCCAGCACAGTGTCCCCAGCACAGTGTCCCCAGCACTCTAGTGTCCCCAGCACAGTGACCCCAGCACAGTGTCCCCAGCACAGTGACCCCAGCACTGTAGTGTCCCCAGCACAGTGTCCCCAGCACAGTGACCCCAGCACTGTAGTGTCCCCAGCACTGTAGTGTCCCCAGCACAGTGACCCCAGCACAGTGACCCCAGCACTGTAGTGTCCCCAGCACTGTAGTGTCCCCAGCACTGTAGTGTCCCCAGCACAGTGACCCCAGCACTGTAGTGTCCCCAGCACTGTAGTGTCCCCAGCACAGTGTCCCCAGCACTGTAGTGTCCCTTCCTTCTCACCTGACTGCAGCCAACCCTCTCTGATTCCCTCTCCTCAGCTATGAGCACCTGAGTCTTCTGAGCTGGAAACCCTCCTTCCCATTGCTCCCTCCTCTGCGGCTGATTTCCACAGCCGCCCCTCCCTCACCTCCATTTCCTCTTTCCCCCCCCCAACCCTAATTCACCAGCAGGCCCGCTCGACCTCCCTCCCTCCCTAGTCCTTCCTTCAGGGAGGACTGATGCTGTGGCCCCACTGCCCTCTGGCCACCACTGCCTGTGACCCCACTGCCTCCGTGACCCCGCTGCCTCGGTGACCCCGCTGCCTCCGTGACCCCGCTGCCTCCGTGACCCCGCTGCCTCCGTGACCCCGCTGCCTCCGGGACCCCGCTGCCTCCGTGACCCCGCTGCCTCCGTGGCCCCGCTGCCTCCGTGACCCCGCTGCCTCCGGGACCCCGCTGCCTCCGTGACCCCGCTGCCTCCGGGACCCCGCTGCCTCCGTGGCCCCGCTGCCTCCGTGACCCCGCTGCCTCCGGGACCCCGCTGCCTCGGTGACCCCGCTGCCTCCGGGACCCCGCTGCCTCCGGGACCCCGCTGCCTCCGTGACCCCGCTGCCTCCGTGACCCCGCTGCCTCCGGGACCCCGCTGCCTCCGTGACCCCGCTGCCTCCGTGGCCCCGCTGCCTCCGTGGCCCCGCTGCCTCCGTGGCCCCGCTGCCTCCGGGACCCCGCTGCCTCCGGGACCCCGCTGCCTCCGGGACCCCACACACTCATGCTTCCCTGGCCTCCCTTGTCACTCCTTCTTAGCCTCCTCTCCCTTCACTTGGCTGGGGTGGTGAAGGAACCAAAACCCCCGGCTTCTGAGACGTGCTCATGCCCAGGGTTGCCAAATGTAGCAAGTAAGAACACAGGCAGGGGCTGTCGCGCCGCTGTGGGGGCCGAAGAGCGCCCGGAACAGCGCGAGGGAGTTTGGGGAACGAGCCATTCTCACTATGGCCACAAGATGGCATCACTGCCCCGTGCTCCAAATGAGGAAACTGAGGCATGGCGCTGGTCCCGTAGTCCCTGGTGACCCGGCCAGGAGTAGCAGAGCGGGGACCTCACTCAGGCCCCCCCAGCCTCCGTTCCTTCCTGTTTCCCTTCTTTGTGAATGCCCTCTGGGCAGGGCGAGGGGCAGCGCACGGACTCACGCGGACGACGTGGACGCTGCTGCGGGCGGCGTCCAGGGTGTCGTAGAAGGCCTGCACCACCTCCCGGAACTCCCCGGCGCTCTCTGCCAGGCGTTCCAGCTTGTTCCAGGGCGCCTTCAGTGTCTGCTCCGCCACTGACGCGGGGAAACGGAGGTCAGCGCCACGCCTGAGCCCCCGGCCCCCGCAGCCAGCCCACCCCACCGTGTCTCGGTCCAGGGTGTAGACTCACAGGTAGGGCCTGGAGCTGCGGAGGGAAAGGCCAGGCTCTGATCCCAGGGCCCAGCCAGAAGTGCCGCCAAGTGGCGGGCGGCGCGGGCAGGGTGGGCCCCGAAGCCACGGAGGACGGTGCCGTCACCACGCGGGGTGACACTCACGCCGTGGCACCGCTCCAGGCGAGCGCACAGCTCTGCCGGCAGCGCGCAGCGCCAGGGCCCCACCGCCTCCTCCTGAAGGTGGGTCTCCAAGGCAGCCCTGAGCGCCTGGTCCAGCTCCTCCACATCCTGCTCGAAGGCCGAGTGCACCACCAGCTGGGCCCCGACATCACTTCCCCCGTCTCGGGGGCCTCCTGCCTCCCACGGGAGCTGCTCCAGCAGGGACAGGGCTAGGGCCTGCTGCAGCGCGGCGGCCTCCTCCTGCTCAGCCGCCCGGCCCTGAGGCTCCAGTGACCGGTGGAGGGCCAGCTGCAGCGCGGCCTCCTCCTCCAGCCGCCTCGGGGCCTCGGTGCTGGGGGCCACGGGCTCGTCCTCCTCAGGCCCTGGGGTCGCCTCCTCCTCCGGGTGCTCCTGAGGCTTCTCCTCCTCCAGATCTGCAGGCAGCCGGCTCTCCCCGTCAAGGTCTGGGCCCTCCAGGGTGGCCAGCCGTTCTCGGACCTCCTCTGGGAGCAGGGAGAGGCCACTGGGTCAGGGGCTGGGCCCAGGGGGAGTTGGAATGGGTGAAAGATGGGGAATGAGTTTAGGGGGTGACAGGGTGGGCCTAAGATGGGTCATTAGACAGATGGGAGCCTAGAGCAGGGCGGGGAGGTCACGAGAGGGCCACAGGATGTGCTGCGGGCTCCCAGGTAGCCCTACCCAGGCTCACGTCCTCCCGGTCACTGCCTGTACTGTCGGGGGGCCACAGGGCGTGGGCATGGCCAGGGAGCAGCGGGAGGGCCTCCGCAGAGTCCACCTGTGGGGAGAGGATATCAGGGCCACCAGCCTCTGGACAAGGGCAGAGGAGGCCTGGGGCAGAGGCGTAAGAACGGGGAGGGCAGGGGCGGGACTCCATCTCTACCTCTTCAAGGCCTGTGTCCCAGGTGGCTGTGGCCAGGCGCTCCGTCCCAAAGACACACTGGAACTGAGCCTCCAGCCCACGGAGCAGGCGCTGCCCTTCTGGGCCCAGGAGAAACCTGGCGCTGCCCGGGTGCTCCAGGTGTAGCACGTGGCAGCCAATGCTGCCCAGCAGGCTCTGCAGAAATTCCTCGGCCGCCTGGCAGGAGGCCTGGGCTCCGCAGAGCTGCAGGGCCATGGCAGAGGGGCGGTTTGCAGGTTTAGAGCACAGGAAAGGCACTCTGAGCACCCAGTCGGAGGAGGGGGGCCGAAGGTTAGGAGTCCTGAGGGGTCACTCACCCGAAAGCCAGTCACATCTGATCCTTCCAGTGGGAAGAGGGCGACGTCTCCCAGGCCCGCCAGAAGGTCCTCATGATACAGCTGCAGGAAGCGCATTGCGCCCGGCTCCATCGACAGCACCGTCTCCACCAGGCCCTCGTGCCCCGGCAGCCCCACGTGCCCTGGGCTCACGGGCCCCGCCTGCTCCAGAGACCCCACGGCGATCTCTGGGGGACCCAGCAGCCCCTCCTGCCCTGGCGAGTCCGTGACAATTTCCACCAGGCCCTCCTGCCCCAGCAACCCCTTAGAGATCTCCAGCAGGCCTGCAGACCCCTCAGGCCCCAGGCTCATGGGCCCCTCCTGTTCCTGTAACCCCACAGACCTCAGGCTTACCAGCCCCTCATGTTCCAGAGACCCCATGGGACCTGTCCTCAGAGAGGCCCCTGACGGCCCTGGTTCCTCGCCAGAGCCCCCTGTCACAGTCTCTGTACCCTGCAGAGCGGTCGCCAGCCCTCCGGTCCTCAGGAGAGCACGCTCCATGGCCCTACGCCCCAGGGTGGACGGGTGGTCCCCTCCACTGGCGTTCTCGGCCAGCTCCTCGGGCTCCAGGACCTCATAGTGGGGGACGAGGCTCAGCTCTGAGCCCTGCAGCCGGTGTTCCCGCCGCAGCACCCGTTCTGCCACTTGGAGGAAGGGAAAGGACAGAAGCCTTCAGGTTTCTGCAGCAGAGGGAGGGTCGGCTGACTCTGCCCCGCCCCACTCACCTTGCCACTGCTGGAAGGAGGCAGCAACGCCCAGGGGCGCGGGCAGGCGTCGCAGGCCCTCCAGGGGCCCCCCGCCACTGCGACGCTCATTCTCCAGGTACAGCTCCAGCAGCAGCGGGTCCGCAGAGGCACCGTCCCCCAGCACGCGCACCGCTCGGGTCTGGGGCACCCGGGCCAGGGACACCAAGGCCCCCTCCAGGCGCAGCTTCTGGGCCTGCTCCTCCAGGACACGGACATCTGCGGGGAATTTGCAGGTCAGCTCAGGGCACCTTCCCTGGCCGGCACCTCAGCCCCCACCCCGCCTCTCACCTGTCTCAGAAAGGGGCTTCAGCAACTGGACCAGAGCCCGGTCCGGCCGGGGGCTGGCCAAGGCACAGCAGGGCTGCACCGGGAGCCCCGAGGCACGAAGCAAGGCCTGGACATGCTGCTCCAGGAGCTGGGGTGCAGTGCCAGGGGGCAGTCCTTGGAGAAGCAGGCGTGCCGGGGCTCGTGGGGGAGCTGGCCGCAGGCTCAGCCGGACGCCATGGAGTTCGTGACCTGCCCGGGCCAAGACCCTCTCGGCATCTGCGGGCAGGGACGGGGCACAACGTCAGGCATCAGAACATCAGGGCACCCAGGCTGCCCCTGCAGCCATCCCCCTCACCTGCAGGCTCTCTGAAGGTGAGGATACCCCCACAGCCCAGTCTCTGCCAGCTCAACACAGGTCCCCCTCCAGAGCGTCGGCGGTTCTCAAAGTAGAGCGTGAGCAGCTCGTCGGGCACAGCAGGCGACAGTCCACGGACCTCCACTGCCACCCCCGCCTCTGCCTCTGCCATTGCAACCCTGAGACGGGGCATCAGGTGGGTAGAGGAGCAGCCCACTCCACCCCTCCTACCCCTCCCAGGCCCCTCTGAGGTGTGCCCGCAACGCTCCCCCATTATGGATGGCCCCACACCCAGTACCTTCAGCCCATGGGCTCAGCCAGGACTCCTGCGCCTGCCCCTCAGCAAGCCTAACTCTGCACGGTACCCGGAAAACAAAAGTGAAACTGAAAGCCGGAAGGAGGGAGGGAGGGAGCAGCTGGGCCCTGGGTCAGGCCGGGTACTGGGGGCCAAGTGCTTCCTCTCCTGCTGCAGCCCAACCCCCAGCTGACCAGGAAGCGTTGGCCAGGTTAAACCCCTGGGGACCCTCCAGGCAGCCCAGCCCAGCCCACTGGCCCCATTTGGACCACTCCAGCCCCTGGCTGGCAGGGTGGACATGAGTGTCCTCTGGCGGACCTCCACTCCCCTGGCCTCCGTGGTGGGAAAGTGGCCTATCACTCTCCCCACTAAATCCACCAAGGGGCCTGAGTCACTGCCCCTCGCTCAGGATCTCCAAGCCTCTGTGTCCATAACACCTTCTGCCCACAAAGTTCTGGATCTCCGGGCCCAAGCCCGGCCAAGGCTGGCCTTCAACGCCCCCAGCAAACTTCTCAACCCTGTTCCTGGTCCCTCGCACCCGTCAGGTGCTGAGCACAGGAAGCTCCCCACCCTTGATTTTCAAGAGTGTGGATCCCAGCACAGCCTCCCTCGGCCTCGGGTCCTGCCTGGCCATTCCTGCAGCTTTCTCCCCCGCCTGCACCGCCTCATCTCACACCATCCCTGGCATCGTCACAAGTAACCCCAGAAGGTGACAGGGTGACGGTACCACTGCATTCCTTGATGCCACTAATCCACACCACAGATGGGGAAACGAAGGTACAGACCGGCTCACAGCAGCTCCAGGCCTCAACCCTGGGCGGTGCCTTCAGAATCCACACTCCCACTCGCCACAAGACCCCCACATCACCCAAGCACCGTTTGCTTCCGGCCACTCATAAAGAGCTGTGCCCACTATTGGTCTCCATCGCCCACTTCCCGCTCACCCTCAGCCCACTAAAGCCCTGGCCAGCCTGCACTCCTAGCCCTGCCCAGGTGGCACGCCTGCTGCCCCGACCCTGGCCCCAGCCTCCAGCATCTCTTGCTAGGTATCTATGCTAACCTCTTAACTATTCTCTGTCTGCCACTCCCACAGTGGGTCCTCAACAGAGGGGTCAGGGTGTGCCTTGTAAAGTGACACCAGCTGCTGCTACAGCTCCCAGCATCAGCAACAGTAAAAACCAAAGTCCTGGGGACCGGGCGCGGTGACTCACGCCTGTAATCCCAGCAGTTTGGGAGGCTGAAGCAGGCGGATCACTTGAGGTCAGAAGTTTGATGCCAGCCTAGCCAACATGGTGAAACCCGTCTCTACGAAAAATACAAAAATTCGCTGGGCATGATGGCGGGCACCTGTAATCTCAGCTACTCTGGAACACTGAGGCAGGAGAATCACTTGAACCTGGAAGACGGAGGTTGCACTGAGCTGAGGTCATGCCACTGCCCTCCAGCCCGTGCAACAGAGTGAGATTGTCTCCAAAAAAACAGTCCTTTTGAGGACCTGCCGAGCTGCACCTGACCAGACCTCAGTCCCTTCTCTGGCCCCATGCCCCCTGCACACCCTGATGCTCAGAGGCCTCCAGGCTCCTCTTCCTGCAGAGCCTCAGGCCACTCCTGCCTCAGTGGCCTAGGACTGGCTCTTCCCTCTGCTTAGCCCCCGCCTTCCCACAAACCCCCATGGCCATCCCTCTGGCATGATCTCCCTTACTCTGCCCCTTTTTTTTTGAGATGGAGTTTTGCTCTTTTGCCCAGGGTGGAGTGAAGTGGTGTGATCTCAACTCACCGCAACCTCCACCTCCTGGGTTCAAGTGATTCTCCTGCCTCAGCCTCCCAAGTACCTGGGATTACAGGTGCACACTGCCAGGCACGCACCACCACACCTGGCTAATTTGTGTATTTTAGTAGAGACAGGGTTTCACCCTGTTGGCCAGGCTGGTCTCTAACTCCTGACCTCAAGTGATCCACCTGCCTCAACCTCCCAAAGTGCTGGGATTACAGGCGTGAGCCACCACGCCCAGCTATTTTATATTAATTTTATTATTTTATTTTATTTTATTTTATTTTGAGACAGTCTTGTTCTTGTCACCCAGGCTGGAGTGCAATGGCACCATCTCAGTTCACTGCAACCTCCACCTCCCGGGTTCAAGTGATTCTCCTGCCTCAGCTTTGCTATTAGCTAGGATTACAGGCGTGCACCACCATGCCCGGCTGGTACAAATTTTTATATTTTTAGTAAAGACAGAGTTTTGCCACGTTGGCCAGGCTGGTGTCAAACTCCAGACATCAGGTGATCTGCCTGCCTCAGCCTCCCAAAGTGGTGGGATTAAGGGTGTGAGCCACCACACCTGGCTGCATTTTATTTTTCTTAAAGGTCTCTCAAATTCTGTGAGCTTCTGCTTCTACAAACGTAAATCCATCCCTGCCTTTTCCATGTTTCCTCTTACAGAGCTCATCACAGGTTATCCATGAAGCCGAGACCCTGGCTGCAGGGGGCCTGCCACCAGCACCACTCACACCACAAGCAGATTGGTACACTTTCAGGAATTTCTGTGGACTGGTTGTTCAACTGGGGGTAACTTGAAACCAGCCTTGGTGGGAGTAGGCACACCATGGGCATGTGCCGAAGACACAGCCCAGGCTTCCCTCACTTGGTCCGGTTGCTAAACGTTGCACCAGCACACCATGGGTACAGGACTCGGAGCAGTCTGAGAGAGGCTGGCCCTCCAAGGGCAGGAGGGCAGGTCGGGTCCACGCCCGGGGCGGGAAGGCTGGCAGCACGATGCACCCTGCCCGCGTCAGTCACTGCTCCCCCAGAAGGACTCAGGAGCCAAGCAGAGAGGCGGCCTGGCCTCCAGTCCTGCTGTATCCCCAAGCCTCAGCCCCTCGCACCTTGTGAGGACGTCAGGAAAACAAGCGAGCATTGAGAGTCTCTAGTGTGGAAATAAGACCTCGTATTTGCTGGCACAAGAGGGTGACTGCAGTCAAAAATAATTTGATTGTACATTTTAAAACAACCACAAGATTATAATTGGATAGTTTGTAACACGGACAAATGCTGGAACTGCTGGATACTCCATTTACTCTGATGTGATTATTATGCACCGCATGCCTGTATCAAAACATCCCATGTAACCCATAAATATGGACACCTACTATGCACCCACAACAATTGACATATTTATATAAGGGTGTCTAGTAGCAAGCCAGGCAGAGTTTGGGCTGATAGAGAAATGGGGCAATCAAACAATGAGGCCTTGATGTGGGAATTAAGCGATCAGGCCTGCGGATTTGGAACAGACCGGGATGAGAAGCGGAAGTGAACGTGGTGTTTAAAGGCCAAGAACGGGATGGTCAGTCCTGGGCAACTTCAGCAAATCCCGCATTTAGGAATAAATTTCTTACCTCCCTGAAGGGCCAGACAAATTGGCGAGACTAGACTTTTGCCTCCAGGAGTCTGGTCTGCAGGGGAGGGGCGCGGGGCTGGGGCCGGGGCAAAGGGGAGCCCTGGGGGCGGCGGCGGGAGGGGCGTAGAGGGGCGGGTCCGCGGAAGCCCCGCCCGCCCCAGCTCGCACGGCCCCGCCCCCAGCTCGCACGGCCCCGCCCCGTCGCACGACCCCGCCCCGCCCCGCCCGTCACAAGGCCCCGCCCCGCCGCACGGCCCCGCCCCGGCCCCGCCCCGCCCGTCACGAGGCCCCGCCCCGGCCCCGCCCCGCCCCGTCACAAGGCCCCGCTGCGTCTCCCGAGCCGCAGGCGCAGGCCCAGCCGAGCGGCCGCCGAGCGGGAGCGGGTGCGGGTGCAGCGGCCATCACCGCGCGGCCGCGCAGTGGACACCGTGCGCACCGGCCTGCGGCGCCCCGCCAGCGGTGAGTCCCCGGCCCGAGCCCAGGAGCGTGTCTGACCCGCTGCGCCGCGCGGCCGGTCGCCCCCGCCCCCGCCCCCACGCGGGTCCCGCGCGTCCGAGCGGAGCCGCCTCGGGTCGGTCACTGGGTCCGGCCGGGGCGCGCGGCGGCTCGCGGCCGGGGGTGGCGGCGGCGGGGGGGGCTGGGAGCCGCGGCGGCCTGGAGCCGGCGGGAGGGCCGGCGCGCTGCGGCGACGGCGGGACGCGCGGCCCGGTGCGCCCCCGGCCCGCGGAGGGCCCACCCGCCCTTGGTGCCGGTGCCGCGGCCGCAGCCCCCGACCCGCTTCGCCTCGCCCCACGCCCGCTTTGTTCCCCGCACGCCCCGTGGTCGCTTCCATCCCCCACACACCCCCGCACCCCGCTGTTCCCGGCGTACCCCACTGGCAGGCACCGGCAGCCGATCCAGGCCTGATCCCCCCACCCCGGAATCCGGAGCCGGGGGCCACTGGGCCCAGTCCTTGGGGGGAGGGAGGTTCAGGCCCTCGTTGGTCACAGATGGCCCGGGGATTTCCTGGGATAGAAATAGCCACCAGCTCCGGCCCCTTAAAGCTGCTTAAGGGGCAGGATGTGGAGGGGAGGGTCCGGGCACACCCCACGCGTCCCCTACCGAGACCCGAGACCCCAGCCCGCATTCGCTGAGCTCCCACCCGGGGGGAGACTCCGACAGCAGTGCAGGCCTCCCGCTGCTCGTAAGAAACAGCCCAAGCCCCAGATCCCGAGACTGGCGGTTGTCCCCTCGCCCGCCCCCTCCCCCACCCTGGAGGCGGCCTAGAAGGCCCCGCGGCGCCGGTCCGGTCCCCACCTGCCTCTCAGGGCCCTGGCTCCTGGGCTCCCCACAGTCCAGGGCAAAGGTCACAGCCTCTCCTTGCTTCCCTCTGGGTTTCCGGCAGCAGGTGGGGTGGTGCAGGGCAGCGTCCTGACATTGTCGCACAAACCAACCGACTATTGCCCTGTTCCCTTTCTGTCTCCTCTAGGGGTGGACCGCAGAGCCCGAGGCCATGTCCCATGAAAAGAGTTTTTTGGTGTCTGGGGACAACTATCCTCCCCCCAACCCTGGATATCCGGGGGGGCCCCAGCCACCCATGCCCCCTTATGCTCAGCCTCCCTACCCTGGGGCCCCTTACCCTCAGCCCCCTTTCCAGCCCTCCCCCTACGGCCAGCCAGGGTACCCCCATGGCCCCAGCCCCTACCCCCAAGGGGGCTACCCACAGGGTCCCTACCCCCAAGGGGGCTACCCACAGGGCCCTTACCCACAGGAGAGCTACCCACAGGGCCCCTACCCCCAAGGG